ATATTATTTTATAAAGAATAAACTTTTTGTTTATTAGTCTAAGTAATAAAAACAATCTATAGATTTAAGTTAATACAAACGATTTTGAATACATTTAATTAAAATAAAATAAGCGGCGATCGTTTTTGAATATAACTCGTATTTGCAAAGTGGTATCTTAACTACCTATCTACATTTATACTATTATTATTAAAAAAAAACCTGTGTAATAAAAAATATTAAATTCTTAAAATTTCCGTGTAGGATACTTATATAATGTTTTCAGTCTATAAATTATTATTCGACAAGTAGAACATTAATAGTTGTAAAACTAGTTTTTGCGACACATTTAATTATATATGTATTCGGGTTTTTACCTAATTTACTCTACATCTAATTGGTACAACATTAAATCAACAATGCGGTCTCGATGCAATCTGCAAATTTCGGGAATATTTTCATGTTAATTAATGTTTTACTATTGATTTTAGATTAGATAGAGCGACGGCACCTGCTCCAATGGCAAACTTGCTTGTTTATCTGCAAATGCTGCAGGTACAGATATCTCGTTGTTGTCTAATTTATAGATATCGCGGTAAAACATTGGGAGGGTCTGCTTCCGAAACCAAGGCAAGGTGCGACGGCGTGTGCGAGATAACAGAACTAAACATCCTGCTGAACAGAGATGATGCACTACAACAGAATGAGACGACTACTCACTTTTTTATCTAAAAAACTTCCTTGCATTTATATATTGGGGTGTTATTTTCAACCTTATTCTTTATAGTATACAGTAGAAAATCTTCTGTAGATATAAGAGGCACGCGACAGCAGCAGGTGGGAGCAATGCTCTTAAAAAACTAACAATCTTTTGCACCGTGCATTGTGTAAAGAACAGTGTTGTTTTTTATCCTTAATAAGCTCTTCGCTTATTTGATTCATTATTTTAAATATAAAATGTTGTTATAAATATGGATAGGTACATAGATACTTCTTTAAAATGTGTTAATATAAGAGAAACGAAGACACTTATATTTGACTTTATCTATGTGAGATGTGTATGTTAAATTCAAATTCATTTAACTATTCGTTAGCGATTATATTGTAATAAATTACCGACCTACAACTTATTATATTTTACGAAAATTGCTTGAGTACTTCCTGTGTTCGATATAAATAATTATAAATATGTGAATATAAAATTTGCTTTCGTGTATTTTGGCAATAATTTTTTTTTATTATATTTAATTATTATATATATTACACACATATTGATTTAAGTAACAAGAGATTTACTGTGTGTTATTTTGCGGAAGTTTATATTGCCTATATAAAGAGGTTTCTTCAGGGTCGGCAACGCGCGCGTGATACCTCTGGTATTGCAGGCGTTCATAGACTACGGTAACCGCTTATCATCAGGTGGGCCGTATGCTTGTTTGCCACCTCAGTGGTATAAAAAAAACATATTGTTTATTAGATTAGATTTATTTTGTTTAATGCTGCTACTATTAGTAGATATATGTGCGATTGCCGACACTTGAAGGATAATATGGAAGGCTGGTATGGAAGGTTAGAGTACTTCTGGTAATAATAACAGAGTCAAACTTCGAGTGTTAGCAGTCGCATCCATATTAATAGCAGCGGAATTAAAACAATTGTAATCAAATAAACTGTAATAGGAGAGTAAACTGATTTTTTGTAGGTAGTAAACCTTATAAACATAATTTGTAAAATACGCTACACGAGTGTATGTAAATCTATTATTAGTTCCCTGTAGGGACACTCGTTTACTTTTCGTAAAGAGGGATAAAAAGCGAGTCGTTCAGGGCGGCGCGTGCTCACTAAAACTGGTAAAAATAGTTAAAGTGGTAAAAATAGGTACAGTAGCAGGCACAATAAAAACGCTTAATTTACGCGAACTGACGCCGCGTTCCGACACTTATGCTCTTTATGCATGTTGTCTTTGAACTAGTAATTGCCTCCAAATGTTGCCTGAAGGACGGACTCGTGCCACTTTGTCTCCCACATTCATAATTGTAACTACACGTTCACAAATCAATCGCTTTTTTATAGCATTTTTATATTAGATTTTGCGATATAGTCTATATTTTATTTTCAACGTGTATAAAACGTGTTAATAATTAACATGTTAATCAACGGATACGAAATGGTTTAATTATTATTAATAACAAAACTAAAGCGATTGTTAAAATGTATTTGTTAATTAGCTATTAATTGCTAACTAATATATATCATTTGTAAAGGTTTAGTAATTTAGGTAATAAGCTACAATAATTGTCACTTAATGAATGAATGGTTAAGTATACTTTATTTGCATTACACAATATAGAGAATAAGCAAGACAATAGACTAATGTAACGATACAGTTGTATAAGCACAGTAAGGCGATTTTATCGCTAAAAGCAATCTTTTCAAGACAACCTTAGGGTAACGGACTAATTGTAGGGGGAAGGGATTGTTAGTAATTGGGACTTAACAGGCCCATCGCTAACAATATACCTTGTCAGGTCGACCTCCACGCGTTTTCTCCTGGAAACCATCATAGTTAATTCTTGTGAAGTTCATCACGATGGGCTAACTGACCTGCGTTCATCTTCACCTATCATCTATCACTGGTGCCCCGCCAGCGTATACCGATAGTGTAAGTGGGGTTTACCATTCCATTATCATCCATAAAAAAACGGACTATTTGTTGTACAAATAGACATAATAATATTGTATAATTCAGCAAGTTTGGAAGAACAGCGTAAAACGTTAAGGAAATTAATGGCCGTGGTATGGGCTGCAGCGTCTCTCTTAAAACATCACCAAATGCCTAATTGCGGTTGCCAATTCGCCTGCATAGCGTAGTAACTACTGGCCTCTCTTATAGGGGAGGCATATGATGATGATGACTATTACCTAAGAAAGAACTTGAAATAAACTAATTAGAAATTAATAATTATAATTAATGACTACTGGTATTGTGAAGAAAATAAACTATACACTGTATTATTAGTATTGCATTATTATAAATAAGTATACCTACGTCAACCGCGACATTATGTCCATAATATATTTATTATGGACATACTATCGTAATGGATCTACTTTTAAATCATATTCAGAGAATGTCATGGTTTTTTTATTGATTATTTTATTATATTACATATTATATTATTTTACACTCTTTTAGTGTAAAATAATATCGGTTTATATACTTTTATTAGTTTAAAAAAGAAAAGAAAAGTACTAATGGTCTAAAACTAAGTTGAAAATTAAATATACAATTTGAATTGAAAATACTATGGTAGATAGAACATAATGATTTATAATAGGTAATGCTTATTTTTACTAATCATATTGGTTGATGTCTGGCAATAGACAGAACAGAGAAATTTTGTATTATTAATATTTATATATATATTTTTTATGTTGTTAGTAAATTATAAATTTTCGTTATTAAGATTAAAAAATCTTTTGAGTGAACGGTACCTGATTACAAGATATTTAAAAATATAATTTTTTTGTAACTTATTATTAAAACTGTCAAATCCCTTGCTAATTCCTTAAGGTAATTATAACTTACCCAAGGTCTTAAGACCAGTAGACGGTTGAACGAGTAATATCTTCTTTTGCCTATGTAAACGATTCTTTTTATAGGTATAAACACAACACATCGAGGTAATTATTAGATTTTGCAATTACTACAGTGGTTAGATGTTAGATACAGAGTAAATAGTAAAGTGGTTTTATACTCTTGAAAGGTCCTGCGATTAATGACGATCTCACCTGATGGAAAGCGATGATAAGGCTTAAGATACAGCTTGCATGTCACCTGTTGTATTATGCATTGTGCCTAAATATTTATCATAATACATATTTTATTTTAAATTCATATATGAGTATATTTTTGTCTTCAGAATTAAAGTATTTGCATAGGACGAATTATGAGGTGATAAATATAAAAAGCGATTAATATTTTTCGCTCTGCCTATTCCACAAAGAATTTAATGCAAAAATAAACACACTTTTGTCAATTTGCTATTAAAAGTAATAGCGTAGTCACATTTTATTTCTATTAATCTTGCTTTGTTTGGTTGAAGTTTACGTACACCTTTGTGATGTTTATTAAAATCAGAGTCTTTGGATTTTAATAATTTTAATTCTGAGACTTTAATAAATGTCTATAAAATATTTTACTTTAGCTTGCAAGCAAGTTTTGTGCTCATTATGAAAGTCGTAAAACAAAGCATTCATTATATAGTCTAAGTCACCACTTAACAGGTTTTGATTTATTTCATCATCACATTATATGATAAAATATTCTATCATTCCAAGAGCCACTATTACCCATTTAAAGTAATAATAACTAATGATTCGGCAGCAGACTGTATGTTCTCAAATTAGTTCTTGTAGGAAAGAATACCGCCCGCCCCAAACGGGAGCTCATAAACATAAAAAGCGCTTATGTGGCATTCTTACAGCGCGGCAGCGATAGTAAAAAACTGCGCCAGGAAGGAACATAATGTAGTAGCGGCCATAAAAAGTGAATGCATTGCGTGCACACGTGGAGTGCATCGGGGGTAATGCGGGGCGCGGGTGTTGAGGTCGCGCGGGGAGGGGCAATGGGGTGTGTTTATAGCGTGGAGGGGCGGCCGCCACACGCTCGCCGCCACCGCTGGCCGTCAGTGTTGTGGTAGGTCACACGGAGCGTGTTCGTACCGCGCTCTTTGATCATTCACAATCGCGACTTCGCGCCGTGATAACATGTCATCGGCGTCCAAACGGCATTGTTCACGAATTTATTACAATATTTGAAACTTAAGACAGTTCATCTAGAGGATCACCAGCCGTCCCCCCATACAACAACGAGTAGTGCAAATAAATGCATTTTCCGTGAAACTGATGTGAGATGGCCTTGTCGCTGCAGTCGACGCAGAATTCGAGAGGTTGGTCGAGATTTATTTGTGGTGCGCCTCGCTGTCTCCGCGGTCTGCTGAATCTGAAGGAAGTGCATATGTGTAAAAAAGTTTCGAAAGTTAGCGGCACGCGACATGCGTGTAACGAGCGCGGCGATTGGCCGCCACCGCGCCGCTCTCTTAGCACACATGTTTATTTGCATTCGAACAGAGTTTTTGCAGATTCAGTGAACCGTAGGCGCTAGCGAGCGCGTAGCGGGCTGCTACGAATCCGCTACAATATTACTTGGTTCGTAGTACGTAGCTACGGCATTTATTATTTTCGTAAAATATAAATTATATTAATTACCATACGATACATTGCCTATGGTAACTTGTAACGAGTTTATATTCCAGTTCGTAGTGAAAATAATGTTGATATACCGCTTTACAAACACAATATTCTCTGCATAATTTGCGTGAGTACTATTCATTAATATTTAATAAAATTTTCTACCCTGAATTCTTTATATTCTATTTCTTATTTACTTTTGCTTATATTTTCTTTCGTCATAAATGCTTATATAAGTGATCGTATTTTATTATTTTATTTGATACTAGTTATATTTATTATACATATTTAGAATTTATTGAATGACAAAAAGTACAAAAATTAGTCCTATAACTTATGTTTTTTTGGCGCTGTATTCGTCCATAGAAAAAGTAATTACCAACTTCTCTTTAGTTTAGTTGTAATTTGCAGTAATAAAAAGGAGGTCAAAGACGAGATTCGCCAGGTACAAATATACGCGTATATAATTTATGATTTACCAGTAATGAACTAAAGTACAATGGCAATTTAATATTATGTTCCTCAAAACAAAAAAAAACTACTTCAATTATGGCAAAGTCACTTATTTTGATTTAATTCTTCTACTTTCGGTTGACAGTATTTACGGACCATATTGTCTTTGTGTTCGCTCAGGATGGCGCGTTTACATGTCGTGCTATAATAAAAAAATAATAATTAAACTATTGAACCGATTTTGATAATTTTTTTGGAAAGCAATCTGTAAGTATACTTTTTGTAATAAAATCAGATCTTGAATATGCCATGACCTTCGGGTACATTAAAATTAATCTGCTAAATAAACTGAATATTTTTTTTTAACATATCGATTATATTTATTTATCAAAAAAAATACAATATAGGTAGTAGGTAGAATAGTAAAATTATTATCTAATTTTAAAACTATTACATTTTTTATGAGCTAAAACATGGAAACACGCGTTGAAAACCACCTGTAAACAGTATTATTTCTCTGAAAAAAAAATTACGGTTTACTTTTTAAGATATTTATTTCTCTAAAGATTTGTACATAAATTTTAATTTGCACTTAAATGAGAACTTTTTAAAACTACAAACATGCACATAGTATCTACTGTTAGCGAGCGTAATTTATTAAACATCAACTAAAAATAAAACATAATGTGAAACTACCTTCATTTTATAAAATAATACAATACGATGCGACTACAGGTTGTTTATAATGTCAAAGTAGTATGTACAATCTTCGGTTAACTGATTGTTAACTTAAACTTATTGTACTATTATTTTATTTATTATTTGTTTCATTCTATGTATCTCTAAATATGCAATCCACACGCACATATATGTAGATTACGTATTCAAATATTATAGTTTAAGGTTAAGTTAATTTTAGAATTAAATATACAAATATCACACATATATCTACTGAAATCAAACTACTAATTACTAGCAGACCTTCAACTATGTATCTGTATATCCAATATAGTTCGTATCAAAAAAATAATTAAATTTTTTAATTAACTTTATCTAGTTTAGTTTAAATATTTATTTTTATTCACAAAGAATCGCTTTGTCCTAAAATATAATCATGCTACAAAATATTTATTCACCGTCACTACGGGCTCACGCGCTCTTAGCGAGTAAACGTCACAAAGGTACAACTTCTGAATAATCCATCATTGGTACTCACCTCCAATATATTTTTTAGATACAGCTTTCTATTTCATAGTTCTAGAGATTTCATTACGTTTTCCAGATATGAATTTTATTCTAACCGAAATCGGCTGAAAAATAACGCATTTTTCACATTTTAACAATTTTCAAAAAGTCTTTGTTTTTTTTTTCAATTTTTTTTATGCAATTTGTAACACTGAATGAGATTCTTAAAATTGATTCTATACCGAAGCGAGAAAAAGAATACATTTTCAATGTTTCAAAAGAATTTTCCAAATCGGTTTGTAACTAACGGAGGTATGAGGTAATAAACATAAAAAAAGACAATCGAATTAAGAACTTCCTTTTTTTTTTAATATGGTTGATAATAAAAGGTTTCTAATATTAGTAACTTGCTTCCAAAGTTAATCACTTTACAGAAAACCATATATATATACAAAGTATGTATATATATACAAAGTTATATAAATTCGTTATTCGTGTCTATATTTAGGTATATAAAGATACACAAAATACTATGTAAAAAGTATATGTGGAGTCATAACATTGTAATTCTCAGGAATAGCAACTCATGAGAGTCATCTTCACATCTATGGGTGACAGTTACCACTTTCCATTAGGAAGGCAGTTATTTTTTTGCTATGTAAAAACCTGCAGTTTATTAACCTGTGTTTTTTAAATAAGTTATATAAAAAACACAGTTTATTAAACTTCAGGTGCTATGATTGTTTACAACAAAAACGTTAACGTCAAAAGTCACGTTAACATAAAAAAGGTAATTTCATTAGTAAATATAACTATATAAATTATGCAATTGACAAACGCCAATATAATATAATATTAGAATTTCATTACATTCATTTAACATACTACATAATTTGATACAACATTCATACTACTCTATATTTGACTCTTGTGATAAGTTAATTCTATCGCTGATTCAGTAAGCAGACTTTGCCGAGAAAAACGAGCACAAAACACAACACATATATAGCAATGGAGAATAAAGATTTCATTATGATGTTGTTAACTAGACAATGTTTAAACATACATTTTTTTTTTCATTATTTACTACTTAACAATACAAATTAAAACTTATTTATATTTAATTTGACAGTATTAATATATCAATTTTCGTACAATTTTTATGAATTGATTGATCAGCGTGTCAATAGTTAATGTTCGAGAATGATTTAAAAACTGGTAAGCATAAATGCAATAGTTGCGACATATAATACTATTACGCAACTTTAATCCCTGACGCAATAATTTATGATAACTATGCACATAATTAGGTAATACATATTATTAATATATTAGTTGTTACCCTTAACTTCACGTAATCGGTGTATATTAATTAACTGGGATTATATGATGCCTATATCTTTGTCCGTTCCAAATACTTTGGTACTATATATATATTAGATTTCACGACAATTGTTAAGTCGCTAAGGGGTAACGGACTAATAAAAATAACTTATATTTTTTAAATATTAACGATTATTATGTTACTACATTATCTTACTTATAATTTTCTGTAGGTTGAACCTTAACACAACTTATGCATGACTATTGCATACCTGTAGTTAATGGGATGAAAATGGAATGGTAATCTTGCATTTGCTATCGGTATATGCTTGTGAGGCAGCAGTGAGGTGTAATAAGTGTGTTATTTCACCAGTAATTACCCTTGATAGTTTCCAGGAACGAACACGTGGAGGTCGACGTGACGGGGTATATTGTTAGCAATGGCGACTAGTATCACCATTACTAGCAATCCCTCTCCCGCTCCGAGAATAGGACATATTTATTAATTTTACTAATGTAATAAATATAAAAGTAGTTTTGTTTCCTTGTATCTCTTGATGGCTAAACCAATTGCTATGAAATTTAGCATAATAGTCTTTGTATATATATATATATATATATATATATATATATATATATATATATATATATATATATATATATATATATATATATAGTTAAATAATCGTTAAAACGAATACTTAAAAAATATTCTTTTTCAACCAACTTTAAAAAGAAGGAGGTTCTCAGCTGTAAATTATCTAAAAGAATATACTTACAGATTGGTCTCATAGAAATTTTATCAAAATTGATTTAGTAGTTTAGTTTCTTAATCAAAATAACAGATTTTTGCACAACTGAAATCGGTTTTAAGTTGTAGAACGCCATATTAAATGATTTATCATTTATAAAATGCGATTGAATTTGAAATTCAATCCCATTTTATCGTTACAGATTTGAAAAGTTAACAAAAAAATTACGATGAACAAAAACAAACATGTATATTAACAGCTCTAATTTTTTTAAATAATAATATTTTATTATAATATTTCTATTTCTTTATACTACTATTCCACAGGTACTATGCTTAATCTATAATTTATAATACCTCTTTTTGTTAATTTAAATTTCGAAAAAGAAATACCATTGAAGAAAAATAAACTATTATTTTAATTATAAAAAATCCCATTGCTCAATAATCACTGATTAATTTGACTTTTTATGTCAATTTTGTAGACAAAAGATACACATTAGCTACCAAGAGAAAAAAATATATTATCAACGTTTATAAGTAAGAGTATATAAAATTTTAATGTTCGTTTAAATGAATAGTAACAAAGTAAATAGTTATTTCATTATGCAAAACTAATTGGCTAATTAGCGTTTACGCTAATTCCAAAATAATTTAACTAATTTAAATGATTTTTTTGAAAAACTATTTAATTAACTATCCAATTGTTACAATTTGAGAAATAGGGTAGTTTCAATTCCGTTTAGAAAAAACAAAACAAAACCAGTACTGAACCAATTTCGATAAAATTTCTATGGAACAAATTTGTAAGTATATACTTTAAGATAAAAAGTAATTTTTCAAACGAATTTAGAACTGAAGAAATTATGAGGTAATAAACACAATAAATACAACCGTATCGAGAATCTCCTTCTGATCGAAGTCTATTGAAATTAATGGAAATGTATATGCACGGCACTCATACAATTACTTGTCTTATAAAAACAAACAATTACAACTAATTTATATGAAGACAGTTGAAGAAGCCTTGCAGTATCACGAACTGTGCTTAACCCTAAACCGCCGAAACCGTAGGAACACCGTAATCTGTGCGAGCGCGTGCTTACCTCGGTACCGTGCCGCAGCGGCAGGTTAATTCCATTATATTACCGATTACCAAAATTAGGTCATCGTTCGGCAATGTCGCATGTTTGTAATTGAACTCGTTTGATCACATTACACTATTGTTAATCAATCAACATTTTACATATACAGCATACCTAGGTTTATTCCTTAACCTCATGAACTTAGAGTTTATTTTATATTAAATAATATTACCCTTTTAATTATTTAATTTCGTTCAAACTGGACAATGATATAAAATCACTCGACAACCTCCTCTTTTTTAAAGTAGGTTAAATATTATAACTTTATACTAATATATGGTAATATCCCGTGAATTTTGTAAGAAACCGTCGAAAATATTCAGAAACAAAGATTTAGTAGCTATATAGTAATAGGTAGATACGTCATTGACACGTCGGTTATCGACAAACCCTTGCGCAATAATGAGTTATGGAGTGGCAGCCGCAGGCGAGTCCATAAAAGTATTGAATATGGGTTATTGACAAATATTTATGGCGTATAAAGAGGGGATAATTACAACTCTTTAGCACATAAAAAGCGCCGCGCGGAAGGGTGCGCCGCGCTGTAAAAATTTATCACCAACATTGTCACCCGACGGGGCGACCTACCAATAAAAAGGATAACTTTAACGCCTCTCTCGACATAAAGGAATACAGCTCATTTATACTTTTACAAATTAATATATTATTATGCTATAAACATGTCAGGATATTTAATAATATTTCACACATCGCAGTTCCTATTATATGTGTAAAATACCTTTCTATTTAGGAACTTGTATCTTGAATAATCTCGAAGCGCATTACTCATTTATTTACTTGTTTAAACTTTTACAGCTGTAGGCTATTATAATTCTAGGTACATCACGATTGCGGTTCATTGTTCGTCCTCAAAACAGCGAGAGGAATGTTATTAAAAAGTTATGGGATAAGCCGGTGGTACGTGCCGGCTGCGAGCTCGGTGGCCTGACTCTACCGACCTCCCTGTTCGCCGTCTAATCACAAACTTTAAAATTATTTTGCGCTGCGCACTCTGAATAACATCAACTCCAGCGAAAATAATTTATTTAGTTCAACAAGAAGACCTATGCCATTTGTACAAATATATTTAATAAATACCATAGATACTATTTTTTTTTGTTTAGCAACAAAAGAATGTTATAATATCTATTTACTTTTGTCTATGTTTAGAATTACAATTTAGTTCCGAAATTTATTTGTTTCACTAAGTTTAAAGGATAGTGTATGTATTCTGAATTTCTAATTATATTTGAAGAATAATAGGTAAACTATTTTCAATTAAAAGCAGAACAAAGAACGGACCAAAATTAATTCCATGCCTAAGTAGATAATGCAAAGAACTCCCTCCTCGCGCCACTTCTTCACGCCTCGAGGAGAACTTTCAATTATAATTTTGTCTAATTTTAATTAAGTGCTCTCAAAAAGGCTTTTCTTCGTCGAAATTAATATTTGAATATAATTTGGGCGGAGCAGGCAGGCGGAGTTTGCCGCTCGAGGAATAATTAATTCTATTATATAGGTAAGTGGACCGTTCGTCCCCTGCCCCGCCATCCCCTTCGCGGTGTCTGACACTTTCCACAAACTCGTCTTCCTAATTTTCAATGGAATGTCTAACTGCTGGTGTGTATGTACGTGTGAAACCATTATTTAATGATTTGTGTAATTTTAATATAGGTATTATAAAGTACCTATGCCATCCACAGTTAAATTAATAGAGACGGATTTAGAGAGGTTCGTAACCAGCGATTTGCGCAACAGGTCGGGGCGGAAGCGACCTGCAGCGTCGTGATTGCGACCAAATGTTTCCTCCGCAGCGTCTGGCTTATGGTTTTTGCTGTGTTTTTTGTCCTCTCTCGCTGATAAGTATGCTATCGATAGGTTCGACTTTGTTGTTTGTTTAGGCCGAAACTAACCCGTGACGGAAGTGATCGCGACGAACACTACAAGTTCTATTTTATTTTTACACTTAAACATGTATTACTTTTAAATTGCTCTATATTATTTATAATATCGCAAAATAATACCTACTAATATGATGATATATCTGCATATATAAGTTATGATCATAATAAATAATTATGTTTATATAATATGTAACCTACGCTTGGATATATATGGCAAACTTATCTAATGGCATACATTTCTTTTGTTTAGGTGTGTCAGTGAGGCCCCTGTCAGCTATGCGCCAAGAGTCGTTGCCGATGTTAGCGGAGCGGCTTTTGGCTACCCGCGCCGCAGCACTTGTCGCTGGATTACCCGCCGAGTTGTATTCTGGTGCGCTGTTGGCTGCGTGGCCTCCATCACCCCCAGCACCGCTATTACCACCTCCTGAATTTGAAAGGTCCAGGAAACGACGTCGAACACCCAAGCTCGAAGATACTGCATCTACCGCTCCTCCTTCTCCACCTTCTTCAGGTTCATCACCTGGTGCGACTGAGCCCCCACGGGACAAACTATTTACTTGCAAAGTTTGCTCTCGCTCTTTCGGATATAAACATGTTTTACAAAACCATGAGCGTACGCACACCGGCGAGAAACCGTTTGAATGTGGTGAATGTCACAAGAGGTTCACCCGTGATCACCATCTAAAAACACACTTACGTTTACATACAGGAGAAAAACCTTACAGCTGCCCACATTGTCCGCGTCATTTCGTGCAGGTTGCCAATTTACGACGGCATCTACGTGTTCACACTGGGGAGCGGCCTTATGCATGTGCGCGGTGTCCAGCTCGCTTTTCTGATTCAAATCAACTAAAAGCTCATGCTTTAGTTCATGAAGGAGATGCGCCATTCGCGTGCCGCTGCGGAGCTAGATTTAGACGACGGCAAGCGGCAGCATTACACAGATGCTCGAGCACCGGCTGTGAACCTGACATGCCTAGTCCACCAGCGGCATCAGCGCCAGACTGGCGTTGGGATGAATGGCCCGAGCAAACTGAGCCTGAGGACCTGTCGCTACCTAGGAGGCCGGCCACGCCGGACTCGCCCACCGACTTACGCGTCCATTCCGCGTAGTCGCTGCGCGCTATGCGCCGCTGAGCCGGTATACGAGTTCCTCCCGCGTAGACCATGCGCTGCTGCCGGGCCGACGACGCCGGTGTTCACTAGCTCACTTTTTGTACAAAATATCCAGAGCTCTTTACTCGCACATTATGACTAAATAGGTACTTTTTTTATAAAAAAAAGTAACAATAATAATTTTTGCTCTACTAAAGATTGTAACGGCTTTTTTTCTGTTTCTTGGTAAACTACTGACGCAGTCTCTTTAAGTATTGTCTATTCTTTTTTATAATTTCGTATTTGCAATATTTCTCATAAAAACGCTTTTTTCATCCACGTTACAGTTTAGATCTTATTGTCGTACTATTTGCATAATCGTAGAGCGAGGTAAAGCAAAAACGTAACCGTTTGTTCCTTTGTCTTGCAACTTGCAAAACAGATATATTGCACAAAAGGTATTTTTTGATTTATTGACGTCGTCTATTGTCTCTTAACAAACTAAAACGTTTTTCTTATGTTTGATGGTTATTGATCTGCGATCGTCGTCCTCCTCCCATCGCGCCTGATGAACGGGAACCGAAATACTATAGCTAAGACAGTGGAGGCCGCGGCATTGACTTATTATTATTAACTACAATAGCTAGTTTCACAATCTGTAATTATTAAGTATTGATTTGGTAGCGAGTTCCGTGTTCTGGACAAAGCCATTTCCATTGTGTTCACCCCGATCCGTTGCTCCTTCGCACAACCGGTTTATAATCATTCTTTTTATACACAATTCTGAAGTTCTTACACAATGACCTTTGAAAATATCACTGATTTGTACTTATTCCGACGAAATGCCAACCGACGCGTAACCGATACTTGTTTAGTACTTTTATAGGGGATGCTTGTTTGGAATCAATAGAGCATTAGATGTGATTAGAATAAAGCGAGCTGGTATTAGATACAAATGAGCGGGAACAGCGGCGGCGAATTAGCCGACTGGCGATCGAGCGCAACTTGCTTCTGTATATAAAAGCTATCCTTACAAAATTATTTATTACTTAGAAGTAGGTTCCTAGAGGAGACGGTATGTTTACCGCACCTATTCGTAAAAAACGTTTACCTAATGTTAACATTGTATGTATATATATTTATATATAGTGATCATGTCAGACCACCGACCAACCATTGTCAGGTAAACACCTATTTCACAGTGGGCTGTGTTGTTTTGAATAAAGTTTAGACCTGAATGTGCTGACATGAAAAAAATATACGATTATTTGAAATATGGGCTTTGTACACTTAGGATTGATATGTTAGGTAGATATTCTTTATAGTTTTTAAGGAAACAGTCAGAATATTTAATATGGATATTGTATATAATTATGTATGTAGATTATTTTAAGTTCTCTTCTGATTGTACACTGCCCAAGTGTTATGTACCTATAATAATTAGTGGAAAGTTAAGTGTGAGGCGAACCTGGACGCGGTGAGATGCTGCGCGTGCAGGAACCGCTCTGTAGGGTGTGATGCGCGCGGACGCTCGGCTCGCGGCCGGCACTACACCGCGCGTCGCTGCAATTTGTTCTACGGGTATTAGTTTCCTACTAGTTGTAATGTGTTTATTTTCTTCGGTTAATCTCTAATTTAAAAACATGATAGTTGTTCTGAATGTTTTAGCGCACATAAAATGATTGTATCTATTTAAGCAGTACATACTGATTGTTGATTATTATTATTTTATTTTCTCTTTAGATGTAAGATTTCGGCATGTAGGGTCTTTCTATTATACGAAACCTATGTAAATTAAGCATATGAAATATTTTTTCCAAAGAAATTATTGGTACAAAAATTAATGTGTACAAATTTAAAAATACTTTTGATTAGGAGTCGTAATTTCATGTTGCAATGTTGTAAAATTATGGTAGTTAGAAAAGTAAAGTAAGATGAACTGTGCCATTATCTACCTCATCCGACTGCGGTTTACTGCGCCAGGGTAAAGAGCCAAAGTTCTTGGAATATTTTCTACTGTTTATCTTCGCTGAGATAACGTACAAATGTCGGGGTTGTGCCTGACCCTGACCATGAATAATGTCATAAAGTTATGAAAATTAATGTTCGAGACTGATTTTTAATTAATATTATTTGATTATAAAATATGATACACGCAGAGTGCACTGGGGTCGCTGTATGTATCGGTATCGTCATAAAGGCACATAAAACTCGCTAGCACATTTGTGTATGTTCATATTTAGTTCTAAATAGTTTGCAATTCACTTGAGTTCCTATTTAAATTATAGATTTGAAAATTTATTGTTTACTTACTTATTTGTTTATTTTTCATTAGTTATTAATAGTGTTATACAACTGTGTCATTTTTTAAAGTGTAAATTTGAGAATCACGATTTCATACTTTAATTATTAGGAAAATGTTTTATGTATATAATATAGGTGTATCCCAAACCTAAATCTTTACTTAAAAAGAACTGCCATTAAAATCATCTACCTCAAGCTCGGATTACAGGTGTTATCTTCACTTACAAATACATAATTACTTACATACAAAACAAGTTTTACTTCTACAAATTATAATAAATAAGATATAAATGTGACATAATTATGATACAATGAATATATGTATTTCTTTATCAATGTCCATTACATAACTATTAAAATAAAGAGATGTTTGTTATTTAATATATTTTGTTATTTTTCTCATCAAATATCAAAGACCTTCTAACATCTGATACAAAATGGGTATAATTATTATATCTATTTATTTATTAAAATTTTATTGATCAATAAAATGTGGTACAAAAGGCGAATTTAATGCTATAGACATTCTCTACCAGTCAACCTTTAGGATGTGCAAAGATACTCGATGGCGGTTTAAAAAATATAATTATTTATATTTTAGTATAAGATGGTAACTACATAAATTTTTTTATACTACTTAGAATGGCAAACAAGCTGACGGCCCACCTGATGGAAAGTGGTAACCGTCGCTTATAGACGTTGGCAGTACCATGGGCATAACAGAGTATACTGTTTCGTCCATGATACCCCCATGCGTTGCCATTCCTGAGGACTCAGGTGTTATTCCTCTGTACCGTATAAATTCACATCTTATCCCATCCTTCAAACAGAAACACAGCAATGCAAACACAACTGCTTTACGGTTGAAACATTAATGGGACAGAGGTACCCAAGTAATCGACTTTTGTACAATGTCACCCTCTGGTAATTTAATACAACATTCATAAAATTATGTTAATATTGTATTGATATATTATTTTTTTAACACATTATTATATTATTTTTTTATTAATATCTACATATAAAGATATGGGTATACATATATTGAACTACTGCCTTCTTGATTACTTGTTTTGATATAGAGAATTGAGGTTGAACACTTTTCTTGAAGGCAAATTTATTAGAGAGGATATGTATGCTTCTGGGCAATAAGTTCCAGACTCGTAAAGTTTGCAGAGTAAAAGAATAAGCCATGAAATTGGTTTGTAATAAGTAAGAGAGAATCTTTAGAACGTAATTGGCAAATATCGATATTTACATTTCAAATACTCCGAGGAAGAAGGGTCAAAAAGAATAGAATAGAGAGTACAAAATAATCGCTGCTCTTTATGTTGACGAATGGAGAAGTATTTGAGTATGGTATATGTAAGATCATATTTACAAAGGTTGAAGATGAAACATATATAATAGTTTGAGAGACGATCCAACTTATTGAGATCTTCATTGAGATCAGGATAACACACATCAGCGTAATCAATTATAGGAAGAATAAGAGACTGGAGAAGAGAGATCTTAGATTTATAGAAAGAAAATATATAACTAAAAATTCCTAAACTTATTTAAAAATCGAAAAATTAAAGTAACTGTACGACTAATATGCACAACCTGTAGACCCCAACTTAAGGTGGTGTCAACATAAAGGCCGAGGTCTTCGACACTTATACTAAAAGGTATAACAGGATAGTAAATTATAATAATAAATCGTATTTATAATTAAATCCCACTAAATAAAATTATCACACATTATTTGAATTGTTTTATAGTATTTTTTTTTTATTTTATCGGTACAATGTTCTTGAACATTGAAAAACCTTATATTTCGAAAGCAAACTATCAAGAAATTTGTTTTATACAAAATAACTGCATAAACACAATGCATTAGGTACATTGTTATCAAAAAAATACCAAATGATACTAAGATGATTAAGATAACATTCCACTATATATAAAAAAATTTATGTATGGAATGGGTTAGGAAAAATACTCACGTTTTCAAAAATAATAATTAAAATCGATCCAGTATTCATTACCGAAGAAGTCGCGTAATGTAATTGTACATTTAAAAGTCACAGTCAAATTGAGAACTTCCTGGTTTTGAAGTAATTTAAAAAACAAATGAACTACCACACTTCCATATAACTTCGAAAACAACCCCTGTGATATAGATAGTAAGAAGACTGTAATTTATCTAAGATCGGCTCTAAGTAATGAGTTGTAGCTTGTAGCACAACATACGATAGGTATAGGTATGTATCACAGCGATAGAACACGCGCACAAAGCGTGTCGCAATCGTAAATCAAATTACAAAGATACCAATGGGTAAATCAAAGCCCGTTCCATGTGTCGCTGTTAATTAACGTTAATGAAATAAATACAAAGTATTCCTAAAAAAAAATGCAGTTTTAATTGTGAAAAAATACATCAATGAATGACGAGATCCTTTACAGTTGCATTGCATTTAATACATACATTTGAAATTAAAACGCGATTCTAGGAAACAATTTAGTATTCCATATAGATAAACGGCAGTTTTAATATTACAATTAATATAAAATCAACAAACGAATAAATCCAAGCGATTGTAAAAAGAATTATAAAAAGTTCAGTTTATCAAGTTTGAGATATGGGAAAACATAAATATCAAAGGTTTGATAAATATCCGAACCTGATACATGGATTTCATTTAAAGAATGTATCAACGTGCTTTTATCATTTCTAGAGAGTCTATTAAATTACAAATTAATTAAAATATGTTTATATTTTAAAGCATATGGGACCAGGCGGCTCTTAGCAGTAGGTTTCCTTTAATTGTTAAAACGATGCAAATTTATTTGAACGAAATATCATGAAAATTTGACACATGGTTTAGAATGCAAATAGTATCAACGATATTTATAAAAGTCACGAATTCTTTTACGAGAATTGGGCTACTTACTGAACGGGACGGAACCTCAAGAGCCTCAAAAGACTATTTGTTAATACCTGTCCGAGAGTAAGTGTTCTAGGTATTAGAATAAGATTTGTTTTAATTTACTAATAGATCTGACTAGCACGGTTTCTTATCCATAAATAATTGATAAGTGACCGAGCTGACTTTCTTTAATTTTTTAACATCTTTTATTGTGGACAAAATTTGGCTATTATAAGATAACAGAGATAAAATAAAAATATACGTGACATAATTAATTATAATTTAATTTAATAATCACATTAAAACACGTAATTACAGTTACATTACCTCACTAAGACATTTTGTATATTTTGTAGGTTTAAATCATTTTCACAGGAAATTATAACAGAAACGTCATTTGCAAACAATACACAGAGACCGTCTATCACCTCAGATAAACCATTTATTAGTATTAAAAATAACTTAGACCCGAAGACGTTATCTTAATGTATTGAATTTATTAATTAGAAATTTGAGATCTTACTGTTTTTATTTGTTCGTTTTGGTTATTGACATGACCTATTTCTACGTATTGAGTTCGATGTGTCCTATGTTGTATAATTTTTTTAATAACGGTTTGTATTAGACACAGTCATAAGCCTTACTTATATCAAGCATAATACCTATAGCATATATAATATTAATAATTTCGTTAATATACTAAACACTTCTAATGAAGTTGATCGATTTTTCCTAAAACCATAGTGATGGTAGTAGAAGACACTATATTTTTCGAAAATGAATAAAGGCGATATGATATCTAACGTCACGATTTCAAATATTTTAGAAAATGTTAACAATAAAAAATGGCACGATAATTATTTACATCATTTTTTTTGTTTAATAATAAAACCTTTTTTAACAAATAAAGGGTTGCACTGTTACATATTATTTGTTCTGACTTACAAATTAGGGTAACCTGTGCCTTGTAAGCCAGTTCCTTCCAACATGAAAAAACTAATACTATGTATTTGTACATGCAGAATTAGCAAAATTGGCCACCCATTTATAAATTTGTTTAATTAGGGAAATTTTCAAAGCATCTCGGACATCTTCTGTAAATAACTGGTTAATAAGTAGGGTTAAAATAGGGGCTATTTCTTCAGCGCACTTTTTAATTAAGACAGGTGAAAACACATCGTAGCTATAACTATTCTTATTTTTTATTATAATAATAAGAATATTTTTAGGTCAAGTGGTTTAATACTTAATAATAATAATTAATGTATATAGCAAGTTTTGGATGGTGCTACTAATAAATTTATTTAATTGTCATGTTGAGTTTGGTTTACATTATGATTTCCTATAAGATTAAAAAAAGTGATTAAATATTTTTTTTTATGGAAGGATATTAACTTGCTTATATAATTAACTTTATTACCTAGTACAATAATATCTATATCTCGTGCTCCTGATAGTATATATATAATGCAAAAAATAAATTTAAATTTTTACTAACTTTCAAACTACATAATGCACACATATATTAAATGCTTAAAAGTATATATATATATGCCTTCATTGTCTGGTTCAGCAAATTTTGTGATAATGAGTTGAGCTATTAAAGCACTAAGAGGTAACAAGTAACGAACCTTCTTTTTAACATTAATTAGAATGCACAGTCAATTATTTAAATGCGTCCGAGCAAGGTCTGTTTTTACATTTCACATTTCTAAAACATACGAAATTTCGTTGTACAGACTTATCAGATGTACCCTTTGTAAAAAGATAACTGACTCATTATAGATTTCAAACAAAAAGAAATTTTAAAAATGTTATCAACGTAAAAATATGCCTATTCAATTAGATCTAATTGCAAAATAATTTACTGACTGAGTACTTAATTAGGGTAACCATATATGAGTTAAGACCTGCATAGACGTTGGAAATATTATCCTTCTATCATATTTTTCCCGAAAAAAAAAAGTTCGCGAATCGTACACCGAGGGCTTGACAATGGATTCCACACACATAGTACAGGCATTTAGTTGTTTGGTGTTTAGGGAAGGGCAAACACTAGTAATAAATTTGATATATATGTACTGTAGTTTTTACTTGAAAATTATAGACGTACGTAAGATGGTAGCCATATATTTACGGAGAAAATCTTGTTTTGCCTATTTGGGAATTGAACACGGATTCAATGCACATGGTCTACAGTAACTTGTCTGTAGACAAAGAACACTACAGCCAGATTATAAGGTGAAAGTAATAAAAACTTCTGTAAATTTTGACATGGTTGTTAATTGACTTAAAATAACTTTTAAAAAGTCTATCTCTAAACGAATGGTCAAAGGGCCGATTTCAGGGGTTTAAAAATAAAAAATCCATTTTTGACAAATTATTTTAAAACTATGCGACGAATTAAAAGACATCGAAAGAAGTTGT